ATTAAAAAAATATAATGAAATAATATTAATATAAATTTAAAAATAAGTTAATATATTATATTATTAACATAAATTTTTAATGTTTAATAATTTTTTTAAATTATATTAAAAATATATTTAAAATAATTTATAATAAAACGTATTATTTTAAATTAATGAAAATATTTTATAAATTAATAAATATATAAATATAAAATATAATATATAAAGTTAAAAAATATATTAATTAATGTTTAAAATGTACGGAAAATTAAATTAATTAATTAAGTTTTAAAAGAAAATTATTATTTATAAATTTTTTAATGATTTTATATTATATTATTACATGGGATTTTATTATTAAATTACCGAAAATATAAATAAAAATAAATTTATAAATAATAAAAACTTATAAATATTTTAATATATTTTTTATAATAATTTATAAATTTAATAAAAAATTTATTTTTATTTTAAATAATATTAATTATATAGTTTAATAATAAATTAAATAATTATTTTATATAATATTATTTTATAATTAAAGAATATTAATAAAAGTAATATTAAATAAAAATTTAAAGTTTATATTTAAAATTTATAATATAAACCTTTAAAGTGTGGGAAAATAATGTAAAATTAATGAATTTTCTTAACTTTTTCGAAGTTAAAAAATTTTAAAATAAAAACTTAAAGTCCTTTATCTTATTTTTTTATAGCACGGGCCACGTGCATAATTATTTCTTTATATTATATTTTTAAAAGCTCGCATTAAATTAATAATATATTTTTATATAAATAAACATTAAATTTATAATAAATATGTTTATTATTTTTAAATAAATAACTAATTTAAAAAATAAAATTAAAAAATAAAATTAATAATCCGTTATTATTAAATAACTTTTAAAGTATTATAAATTAATATCATTTTAACATTTTAATATAATATTAATAATGTATATTTTTTAATATTAAAAAAAAAATAAAAAAAACTTTAAATTTTATTATAATAAATATTAAAATATAATATAATAAAATTTATAAGGTTATAAAGTTTAAAATTAACGAAATTATATATTTATATTTATATTATAATTATAAGTTATTAAGGAATTAATTTAAAAAATATAAAATATAAAAAATAAAACTATTATTTATAATAAAAAAAGTTAAAAATTTAATATATAAAATTAATATATTTCCGTTATAACGTATATATAAAGTTATAAATATATTATAATTATATAAAATATTATAAAGTTTAAATTTTTATAATAAAAAATTATTAATATTTAAACATGTTATAATATAAAAAAATATAAATAAATAAATATTATATAAAATTAAAAAACTTATAAATCGTTAAATTAATAATTTAAAAAAATAAAAATATTTAAAATATTTAATACATTAAAAAAATATATAAATATATATAATAAATAATATTAAAAAAAATTTAATAAAAAATATAATAAAATTTATTAATTAATATAATTAATATTATTTATTATTATTAAAAGAATTAAAAGTTTTAATATTATAATTAATTATTACGATATTAAATAAAACTTAAATATTATTATAATTAACGAATAAAATATTATATAATATAAAAAATTTAATATCGTTAAGTTTAAAATTATTAATATTTAAAATATTTTTTCGAAATAATATTAAAGTTATTTTTATATTTTTAAACGTTATATCGTTAAAAATTATATTTAATTTTTTATTTCCTTTAAAAAAATATTATATTTAAATTATATTTTTAATAAAAACTTAATTAAAACATTAATTAAGTTTAAAAAATTATTAACGTAATTATAAAAACTTAATTTTTTTTTATTAAAAACCGGGGAAATTAATAAAATACACACGTATTTTAATTATATATTTAAATTATATTAATATAATAAATAATTTTCCTTTCGAAAACTTTTAATTAATTTAAACTTAAAATAATTAACTATTATTTATAACATTATATATAAGTTTTATTAATTAAATTTTTTTTTTTAATATTTTCACCGGTTAATATTATTATGGCTTAAACCATGTCGGAACTTAAATCGGTTAACCCTAAGCTTGGGCCACCTTGAAATAGCGGTAAAACGTTGTTCCGGTACAATAAGGAATGGGGGGTATATCCCCGTAATTACGAGGTCGCATAATTATTTCTTTTTTTAATTTTTTTTTTAAGTAAATTAATACATGTAATTATTTTTTAAAAAGTTAAACCATTATATTTAATTTAATTAATTTAACCCTTAATAAATATTATAACTTTTTTTTAATATTAATATAAATAAAATTATAAGTTTTATTAATATTATTAATATTAAAAATACGATATATTATAATTATTAAATAATAAAATTTAATTTTTTATTTATTTATTTTATTTTTATTTAAATATTTTTTATTATTACTATATTTTTTTTTCTTATAATTTATTATTTAATGTTTTATTCGAATTATTTATTTCGTTAAAGAATTTTATTTAAATTAATAATAATATACGTTTTATTTTATTTATTATTATTTAAATTAATTTAATATTTTTTAATTTTTAATTTATTATTATAAATAAAATATTAAAATTTTTTTTTAATATTTTTATAAATTTTAATAACTTTTAATATATTTAAATTTAAAAAATTTATTTAAGAATTAATTAAATTATAATTAATGTTTATTAATTTTTAATATATTTTAATAATAATAATTCTTTTAATTAAATTAAAATTTTATTTCGAATAATTAAATATAAAAACGGATGCGATTTAATAATTTTGTTATTTTTATTTTATTAAATAATAAATATAAAAGATTTTTTATAAAAATTTAAAGTTAATAATTTTATATTATTTTAATATTTTTAATAAATTTAAAATCGTTATCGCCGAATTTATTTTTCCCGTAAAATTTAATTTTTTTAACCGGTAATATTATTTAATTTTTTATTTTAATGCTTTATAAAATAAAATCGTTTTTTATGTTTTATTAAATTATTTATAAAGTTTTTTTTTTCTTAAAATTAATTAATAAATTTTTTTTATAATTAAAATTTATAAATATTATTATAATAATAATATAAAATAATAAATAAATATATTATTATTAATATAATAATATAAAATAATAAATAAATATATAATTATTAAAAGTAAAAAAAATTATAAATATAAATTTTTTTTTAATTATATATATTTTTTTTTAAAAATTTTAATAAATACATATATTTAACTTTATAAAGAAGAAACCATTATATTATTTAAATAATATTTTAATTATTTTTTTATATATTTAAATTATTTTAATTTATTATTTTTTACCTTTAAATTATTAAGTAATAATAAATACATTTTATTAAATTTAATTATTAATTTTTAAGCGTTTTATATTAATAACGGTTTAAGGTATTATTAATTATTTTTTAATTTATATTTTAATATAAATTTATTATTTTAACGATTTTTTTTTAATAAATTTTTTATTTTATATAAAATGTAATTTTTATTATTTTTTTCATTTAAACTTATTTTAATTTTTATTTTATTTTTAAGAATAAAGTTAATTTTAATAATGTAAAAAATAAATATATTATTAATACCACGTAATATATTTTTTAATATTTTAAAAAATTTAATTTATATATAAAATCATTTATTTTACGAATTATTATAAAAAAATTAACTTATTATTATAATTATTTATAAAGTGGGTTTCCCGGTAAATTATATCTTTTATATAATTGCAAATAAAATTTTTTATTAATATTAAATTACTTTAAATTTTATTTTATATCGTAACGAATTTTTTCGTATTAATTATTATAAAATTTATAATTATTTTAATTTTTTATTAATATATATTTTTTTAAATTTTAAAATTAATAAAATTTTTTAATATTTTTAAAATTATTAAAAAGGATTTAACTTTAAATTTATAAATTATTTTATTTAAAAAACAATTTAAAATAAATAATTTAAAATTATTAAAATTATATTATATTTTTAAAATAATATTAATCCATAGGATATTAAATTTAAATATTATATAATAATATATAATAATTTTTATATTTTAATTTCTTTTTATTTTAATTATTTATTTATGGGTGATTTATTATAAACATTCCGAATATTATATTTTATTTTTTTTATATTATTTATTATAATTCCGATATAAATTTTAAATTTTAATTAAAAATTTTTAATTTATAATAAGAAATATTTAATAATATATATACGTTTATTTATTTATTATATATATAATATAACCGGGTATAAATAATAATTTTTTTATTTATTTATTTTTTATTCCGAGTATTTATAAAAAATATTCGGTATTATTATAAAATAAATTTTTATATAAATTTAATTGGCGTAAATCCGCTAGTTATGCGTATATATTATAATTATAATCGGTAAAAAGCTTTTTTATTAAACTTGTTTTATTTAAAATAATAAAAGAAAAAACTTTATAATAATTAAAATAAAAAACCTTTTATATTTTTTATATAATAATTTATTTTATTTTTATTATATTTTAATTAAAAGTTTTAATTTATAAGTTATAAAAGTTATATTTCATTATATAACCACCCGGAAAAAAAGCGGTATTAAATTAACTTTTAATTATTAAAAATGTAATAATATATTTTTAAATATATTAATTTTAAATAATAATTATAAATTTTAATAATTACTTTAATAAATTTATTTTATTATTAATAAATATTTAAAGAAAAATAAATATAAAACGGATAATATATTTTCCGTTATTATTAAAGTAATTTATTAAAAATAAAATAAAACCTTTTTACCATTTTTTTTTAAAATAAAAATAACCCGTTTCTTAACCGTTACTTATTTATTGATAATAACTTTAATAATTCCTTAAACTTTAAGCTTTTAAAATACTTAGTTTTATAATAAATTAAATAAAAACATATTAACGTTATTTCTTTAAGTTATAAAATAATAAAGTTTAAATTTTATTAAAAATAAAATCCATAATAATTAAAGGATTCGAACCTTTTCCTTTAAGTTAAAACAAGTAATTAACGGATCGAAAGCGGATTAAACGTTAAACCATTACGCCAAGTTATTAAATAATCTTTTTATAAATTTATAAATAATTATTATTATTATATTATATTTATTATATTTAATTAATTTCCATATCGTTTTTATTATAACCATTTTAAATAATTCGATAATAAAATTTATTATTATTATATAAAAAAAAATTATTAATTTAATTATTAATATTAATTTTTTTAAAAACTTTTATTTATTCGTTTAAAATATTTAATATTAAAAATAATATTAAATGTAATTAATTAAATATATCGCAAGTTTTTAAATATTAAATTTATTTAAAGTATATTTTATTTATTATAAATTAAAATAATATTTATTATCGTGAATTTTTTTAAAAATTTATTAAATATAATTATTTAATATAATTAATTTTTTAACTTTATTTAATAATTTTATATATAATAAACCATTATTTAATATATATTTAAAGTGTTTAATTAATAAATCCTTATTTTTTTTTAATAATTTATTTTTTATTTTTTTTATTTTAACATTGTTTTTAATTTTCTTTAAAAACTTTTTTTTAATTTTTTTAATATTATTACATTCGTAATAAATATATATTCGAAATTATTTATTATATCGTTTAATTTATTCTTTATTTCGTTCTTTATTTTTTATTTATTTATATTATTTATATTTATTAATAATTTAAATAAAATGTTTAACATTAAATTTATTTTTTTAATATATATTAATATTTAATTAAAATTAAAATAAATACATTAATATAATTATTCATTAATTATTTAATTTAATTAAATTTTATAATTAAAATAATCTTTAATTAATTATGTTTTTTATTACTTTATAATTTATTAAAATAATAATTAATAATTAACACGATTAAAAAAATATTCGAAATATTTTAATATTTTATATAATGTAAATAATTTTTAATTTTATCGTTTAAAATTTAATTTCGGATTTTATTAATATTTTATTAACTTATTAAATTAATTTAACGAAATTAATCGTAAATTTATTTTTATTTTAATTATTATCGCTATAAAACATTATTAATTTAAATTTTTTTTAATACATTTATTTTTAAAAAAGTTTCGCGTAAAAAATTTTAATATATTAAATAACTTATATTTATTAACTTATTTTATAATATTTAAAATATTTTAAGTTTTTTTTTTAAAAGTTAAAATAAAATTTTACCGCTTATTTTTTTTATTTTATTAAAATTTTAAATAATTTTTTTTTTTTCGTATTATATTTAATTTTCTTTTTTTTTTATAATAATAAAATTTTTTATTAATATTAAGGAATAAATTTTCTTAAAAATTTTATCATTTTTATATATATTTTTAATAAAATAAATATTATAAACATTTTAATTTTTTTAATTATTTTTATTTAATTTTTTATAAACTTTAAATTAAATTTATTTATAATAAAACTTAAAAGTTTTATTAATAACAATTTTATAAATAATTTCGTTAATTTGAAAACGATATTTAAATTTTCGAATAATTTAAATATCGTTTTAAAATGTTTTTTATATTTTTCGGTTATTTTTAAAAAAATAATAATATTATTAATATACGTAATTATATAATTTTTATATAATTTTAATTTTTAATTTATATATTTTTACGTAAAACTTAAATTATTATAAAAATTTATTAATATAATATTTAATATTTTTAAACTTTTAAATAATATAATTATTATTTTATTTCGGTGTTTTAATTAAATTAATAAAAAACATTAAACCGTTTATAATTATAATAAATTACATTCCTTATATTTATATAATAATAAATTCTTAAATTAATAAAAAAATATATATTTAAAATAATAAATTTTCTTTTTTTTATTTTATTTACCGTTCTTTAAATAATAAAAATTAAATATTTAAAAAATATAACTTTTTTTATATAATTTATTTTATTTTTTTAATATATATTATTAAATATTTTATTTATTAATTGTTAATTTTTTAATTTTAAGTTATATATTTATACCGAATTATATATTTAATTTTATTAATTATTAATTAAAAGAATTTATATTTTTTCTTCGTTTATTATTTTAATAATATTTAATCTTTTTTATATTTTATATTTTTCCGTTATTTATTAAAATTATTATTTTTATTATTTATATTTTATATATATATAAACGTTATTTTTCGTTTTAATTAAAAATACATTTATCGGTTATTAAATTTTTAAAACTTATTTTTTTTTTAAATCTTTTTTTTTATTTTTTATAATATTAAATAAGTTTTATAATATTAAATAAGTTTTATAATATTTTATTATTAAATTTAAAAATAAATTTTATTTTATTTATTAAATTAAATTTTTATAATATTTAAAAGTTTTCGTTTAACTTTATTATTAACGCGGTTATTATTAAAATGTAAAACTTTTTTTTTTTAATTATTATAAAACTTTTTTTTTTAATTATTATAAAAAAATTTTTTTATAATCGGTTAATATTTTTAAATATTTTTTCCGTTTTATTTTCATTAATTCATTTATAAAATTTATATATAAAATAACTTTTATCGTTTTTACGTTTAATATAACATTTATTACTTTTTTTATTATAATAATAAATTAATATAATTAATAAAAATATTTATTATAATTTTAAAAAAAATTATTACATTATATATTACTTAGATTTTTTAAATAATACTTTTAATTTTTTTTTATATTAATAAATATAATTAAACTTTCGTATAAATTTAATATTATAATTTTATTTTAAAAATTAATTAAAATATCGTATTTATTTATTTATTTAATTCTTAATAAAAAGTTTAATTATAATTTATTATACGTAAATTAAATATTTATTTCCTTTTATGTTTTTTTATATTTATTATTATATTATCCTTTTGTTTTAATTTTAAATTATATTTTTTTATTAAAGTTATTTTATTAATAATACCTTTAATTATAATAAATTTAACTTCGTAAATTTTAACGTTTAATATATATTTTCTTATTTAAATTTTATTAATGAAAACGTTAAAATAATTTATATTTAAATAAATGATAATTAATTTATTATTATTTTTTATTATAACTTTAAATTTAAAATATTAATATAAAATTAAATTATTTTTTTTATTTATATTAATAATTTTATGTTTTATTAAAATTATATTAAATATATTATTTTTTATAAAATTGTTAATAAATAATAATATTATTTATAATTTTAATAATTTAAAATTATTATTATTAATAATTTTAATATATTTTTTATATATTTAATATTTATAAAATATTAAATAATAAAATAAGTTTATTTTATTATTAAACTTTTATTAATAAATTAAAAATTTACAATATTAAAAATTTTTTAAACTTTTTTATATATTTTATTACGGGAATTAATAAAATAAAAAAAAAAAACATTTTTATTATTTATTTTTTTATTTTTTTTGTCGGATATTTATATATATATATATATATTTTTATAATTATTTATTATTTATATTTAATTAATTATAAATTGTTTTTATTTAAATATATTTTGTTTTATATTTTTATATATATTTTTTATAAATCGTTTTAATTAAATTTATTATTTATAATATTTTTAAAATAATTTTTATATACGTTAAAATTTATTACGTTTATATTTTTAACCTTGGCTTTAATTTTAATTATTATTAATTTAACGAACACGTTTTTCGTCGTTATTATAATTACTTTTTTAATTAAATTTTTTTCGTTAAATAAAGCTTTTATTTTTATTAAATTTTCTTTTATTAAAAACATTATAATAAACATCGGAATATTATTTTTAATTATTTTAATTTATTTCTTTTAATTAAATAATATATATAATATTTATAATTAATAATAATTAAAATAATTATAATGTTATAAAAAATTAAAAAACCGTTAAAACATTTATTTTAATTATTTTTAATATTATTAAAAAAGTTTAATATTAATTTAAATAATATATATAAAAATTAATAATATAATTTTATTATAATATATTTTTTACTTTTCTTTAATATATTTTAAATATTTATTTAATTTATTATTATTTTTTAAATAATTAATTAATTTTTATAATTTTAAATAAAAAAATTACAAATTTAATTTAAAAATTATATATTAATTATAAAACTTATTAATTTTATTAATTAAATTTATTATATTATTTAAAATATAATATTAATATTAATAATTAATTAATTTTTATTATAAATTATTTATTATATTTTTTTAAAAACATTTAAAATATTTTTTTAAAAACATTTAAAATATTTTTTTTAAAAACATTTAAAATATTTAATTTAAAATTTTTTTTAATTTATTTTAAAGTGTATAAAAAATTAATAAATATAATTTTTTTTATTTTTTTTAATATTTTTATTTTATATTATATTTAAACATTTCTTTTTAATAATTAAATGAAATTATTTTAAATTATTTTCTTTTTAATTTTAATATTTATATATATTTTTATTAAATTTATAAAAAGGTTTATATTTTTTTAATAAACATTATTTTTAATTATAATATAATTTTTTAAGTTATAATGTTTAAAAACATTTAAATTAAAATAATTAATTTATTTAAGCTTTTATTTATATAATTTATTTTTTTATTTAAATTATTTAAAATATTTAAAAATTTTATTAATATATTTTTAATAATTATATTTATTAAAATCGTTTTAATTATTAATTTAATACGTTTTTTTAATTTATTAAATATTATATATTTTATAAAATTAAATACTTAAATTTTAATTAATAAAAATAAAAAGTTTTTATAAAAAATCGTTATTAATTTCGGAGAAAATTATATAAAAAATTTTATTAATAACTTTAATATGAAAAGTTTTAAAAAAATAAATCTTAATAAAAAATATTTTAAAAAAGGAAATTTTGAAAAAAATTATTTTAATGAAAAAGATTTTAATAAAAAAGATTTTAATAAAAAATATTTTAATAAAAAAGTTCGAAATTTTATTAATAATTAAAGTTATTAATTTAATAATATAAATATTAAATT